TAGGAGAAGCTCGAATTTATTGCTAATATTTTTCCCTTAAAAATGCACCGTGTTATATGCGCCTCTGTGTGTGTGTGTGTGTTGTACGTGGGAGTGGGAGGGGTAGTGCAAGATGAACGTACAGAGAATCCAAGTAGCTTACGTGCACGCGGATGCACAGACAATTTTTTTTCCTCCCTTTCTTAATGCAACTCGGTGTGTGTGTGTGTGCAGTAGACGAGGACCCTTGGAAGAAGATACGAAGAGAAACACGGTAGGTGAAATTTACGCCGATGCACGTGACACCCACCCAACACACACAGAGAGAGAGACGAACGAAGAAAAGTTTACTCCGATAAAATTCAACTTACTTTACCGTCGAGAATCTTAACGGGTTTTTACAAACAAAGTATAACACAACCACCTGCATACCACCCACCCCCCACCCCCACCCACGCGTGTTCAACGTGGAACTCATTATTTCAATTATCTTCTCTTAATATTGATTATTATATTTTAACAATCAATCATATTTTTTAGGATGCATTTAATCGATCCTAAAATGCTAACGGGTAACAATATCAACGAATAGAAATTTCCTAATAATTTATCGCAGCAATAATATGTAAGTAAAATGTTTAAAAATTACACTAATCGTTAATAAACATGTTTTCGAAGGGAACCCTATAGAACAAAATTCAGAACACCTAAATTATTAACCGTAGAACTACTTAATGGGGAGATATCTACCTAAATTAAATGAAGATTTGATCGTTTTTCAGTACTTTAATTTATTTCTATCAAGTTTTTACCAATTAAACTTTAATAAAATTGAATTTCCTCTCTTCACAATTCTCTTTGACATGGACAAAAAAAACAAAAAATTTTCATGTACTTAAAAGTCTGATTATTGATATTAGTGCAGAACAATTTTTAGGATCAGAAAACCGTGGGGTAAATGCCCCAGTTTGTAGTTCTACAGTTACAAATAACGAATCTAAGAGATTTAAGCAATCCCATGAAAGTAAAAGACGATGAGTTTCATGGGGGGACGGGGGTTGGTTGGTTTCTTCTCGTGTTAGACGTTATTGGATGCATCGAAAACGAATGCAACCGTGTTGAATGTTCTATGGAAAGCAGCCGTGACGTTACTGGCGCCTGTCCTGACTCTTGACATTCGTTCATTCCCTTGTCCCCTTATCCTTTTTTATTTTTCGCAAACGTCCTTGTCCCTTTTTACAATTGACAATGAGAAGGAAACGAACGGGAGGGGGGTGGGGAGTTGGGTGAAAGGGAACGCAACTAGAAAGAAAGTATTTTAACAAAACCATTGAGAAAAATCACTAGATTCGTATATAACCTTTCGAAAAGAACAGAACGAAGACAGGATAAAACAAGAGAAAGAAAGAAAGAACAAAAAAAAAAGAAAAGAGAAATGTATAGAAGAAAAAAAAAGGAGAGACTAAACAAAAGACGAAGAAATTGCAGAAAATGGAATTCATTCTCTTCCCCTCTCTCTCTCTCTCTCTCACACACACAGCTTAAGCCTCACCCTTTCACCCTTTTTCTCCTCCCCCAACCCTTCGGCTGCTCTTTCCCTTCTGTCTGACGTTTTTTAATTAACTCGATCGTTCGAATCTGAGTGAAAATACGCGGACGAGAGGGCACTCGAAAGTTTTTTCGAATTGAACTGGGTGCCTGCCTGCCTGCCTGCACATTGCACATTGCACATTGCACATCATGGGTAACTACCCCTCCTCGTTCTCCACCTCTTCCTCTCTACCAGGTATAACCTCGAAACGAGATTCCACGTGCTGCTGCTGGCTGCTGCTGCTTGTCGGCCGACCCATTTAAAAACAACGCCGAATAAAAGAGAATGCATCCGAAAAAAAAGAAAAAAGTAGAAAAAGTAGAAAAAAGAACAAATTAGAAAAAAGGGACAAGGGTGGTGAGTGAGATCCTCGGATAGGATCGATCGGTGCATATTCTTTTTTTTTTTGGTTCGTAAGTCCCAATTTGTTCTAAACGTAAAACAGAGTCCTCTCCCTTTTTTCTCGTTTGTCGTACATCCTTTAATGGAAAAATTGAAATTACCGTCAAATATGTAGGAGAGATTAAAGAAAAAAGTAAGTGGAAAGTGAACGGAACTCTCAAATGCCTCTTTTTTTTTTCTTTTTCTTTTTTTTTTGCGGAACTCTTTCAGGGTGACGCGACCGAGGAGAAACACTTGTTGATCCGTGTACTATGGGATTGTGAATTTAAGTAGAGAACGTAAATTTGGATTAATTTAAAGTAAACTTCATACACACAAATAACTTCCTCTCTGTATATATATATATATATATATATANNNNAAAAATTACAATTTTTAATGATAAAATTTAACAGGGAACTTGGACATGAAAGAAGTAGAACTTAGTTTGAACTATCAACTATCAACTATCAACTAATCAAACTAAGTTCTACTTCTTTCATGTCCAAGTTCCCTGTTAAATTTTATCATTAAAAATTAATAATAATAATAATCTTTCATTTGTTTAATTCGTTCGCAAAAGTATGGTACTCATACGAAATTATGATTTGTCAGGTTTTAAAAGACAAACGAGGTGGACGACAAATCGATCACAGGAGTTCTTATCTGGAATGAGTATATTATGCTAAAAGGGTTTGAATCATTCTCGAGGTCTTTCTAGACTAACTGTTAAGTTAAAAGGTGAAAAAAAAGTCGAGTTTTTAGCGATCATTCGCGTGAGATTTCTTTCGGGATTTTATACGCGACGTAACGTTATGCAGAATGACACGCTGCACCAAATGGAAAACTTTCTGTTTGTGTGTGTGTGTATATGTTTTTGTATATATATATATATAAGTAACAAGTGGGGAGGGTGGATAGAAAAAGAAATAATAAGGTGCACGTTAAAAAGAAAGAGAGAGAAAAAGAAAGGAAACTTTTATTCCAGGAGAGAGACGAGAAAACGCGAAAAATGTCGTATTAACGAGAAAGTTTAAGAGGTCGAGGCGTCCTAACGCGTATAACAGAAGAAAAAATACATAATCAAAAAAAACATAAAAAAGTAGAAGTAGAAGAAGAAGAAGAAGAAGAAGGTGCTTTCGTAGCTGTCGGGGAATAAAGTTCTCACAAATACAAATGTTACGAAAAAGTAGGTTGCGTTATAGTTGTTTAGAAAAAATATCCTCGTGCGAAACTAAAATAATTAGAAATGGAACGAAAGAAAAAAGAAACAAAAAGCACACACACACACACGCACAGAGTAACAAGCAAGGAATTTAGAACGAGTTAACTTTTCATTGGGAATACCTGAAGCGCATCGAAAAATTTGCCCTCGAACATTGAAAAAAAGAAAAGAGGACGTTTATTTAAAAATTAAAATCTAATTGCAAAATTGTCGTATCTCGAATCGCGAAATCAAACGAAATCAAACACGAATCATCTCTTAACGAAGTGCACCGATAATGCATCCAAATGACGTGTTTAATACTGAAATTTTAGATTAATTTAAAAATATATTAGAATTGTTTTGAACAGCATTATCTCATCTCGAGATATATATTTTATTTTTATTGATAAATAATCATTTTTACAAAGAGACGAAGAACGAACGCGCATGCTTTTCTAAGAAAACAAATATTCGAAATAATCTCGATGCGCGTTATATAAATTATCATTCTCGTACGTAGATTTCATAATGTAAATAGAATTATCCGAGTAGCATGATACGCGTGTAACCTAAATTCTTTGACGAGAAAAATGAGAAAAAAAGTAAAACAAGAATGGAATAATTACCCAATAAAAGGATCCCGTAATTTTCGGAATGCAACGAGTCATATGATAATATTTAAAGGTGTGTGGGGTGCATAATTATTTATTAATAAAAAAAAATAGTTGACAAAGATGCTAAAGGATTCATCAAACGTATGATAAAAATGTTAATCATGATAAAAAGTTACATGAACACTGAATTTCTAACTTTTTTCGGCTACATTTTCGGATTTCGGAAGCAGTGTGCAACGCGGTTTCCCTTGACCGTGAAAATTAATAAAAATATTTTGTAATATTAATAATAATAATAATAATAATAATAATAATGAATAAAACTGGCACACACTTTGCAACGACGGTAACGATAAACGATTCAACAACGTGGCTTTGAACGAACTACCGTCCCGTAACTTTACGCAGGTAGCACAAGCTAAAGCTTTTTATCAAACCTCTCGACATAATTAATCACCGTTTAATTAACACGAGAGAGTCAAAAAGCAGTTAGCCACATATAACCTGAAATACTCGTAACGTCAACCCCTCCTCCCCCTCCTCCTCCTCCTCCTCCTCCTCGTCGTTTGGTCGCTAGTTTAACCGAAGTTACGTAAAAAAAAAAAACTGTACACTTTCGAGCTTGGACTATATTTTCTTTTTTCCTTCTATTCTTTTTGTTTTATTTCTAGAATATAAAATTACATATTTATTCTTTTATGCAACTTTCCTGCCGGAAATAAGAATGACGCGACGACGTATCCCGATGAATCAAATAATACATGGAAAATTTATATATATACTAAGTTATCTTTTAAAAACTTTGCTAAATAAATGTTTACGAACGATGAGACACACATGCACACATGTATAGAAAAATTATGCGCGTGTGTCCCTATGAATTACGCGAAAATAAATTCATCGTTCGTCTTTAATCTCTCGTTGTAGATAACAGCAGAAGCAGCAGCAGCAGGCTGCCAGACAAGGGCAAAGATAGAAGATAAGAGAAGATAAAAAAATGTGAATAAAAAAAGAGAGAGAGAGGAAATAAAAAATAAAAAATAAAAAATAATAAAAAAGGTAAAAAGGGACGGGAATGATCTTCTCACGTAGAGTAAAGGGAGAGAAAAGCAGGCTTGTGGGAAGGGAAGGAATGGGAAGGGAAGGGAGGGAAGTTCGTGTAAGGGATGATGGTGGGGAAAACGTGCAACGTGGTGGGGAAACTCGTGCAGCACGATAACCGTCGACCGAGGTGCAAACCAGCCGCGAATTCGAAAGGCGGCCAGTTGCTGTCCGCGCGTCGTTCGAGACGCATCGTCAGAATTTTATTTTCGAATTAATCGTATCGAGGTAAAACGTCGTCGTAATAATAGTCATCGTAGTAATAATAGTCATCGTCGTAGTCGTGATTACAAAAAAAAACAAACTCAATGCTTCGATTTATTTTTCAATAAAAAGAAGAAGAAGAAGAATAAACAAACAATCATTTTCGATAAATCAAATCGACGATTATTTTCGATCACGATTACGCGTAACGGGACCTTGATCCCGTATCGTACGGGGGCATCTTATTTTCGAGAATACATTAACGTCAGTGTCTTCAGTGTTTTAAGGTGATATTTCAAATGAAATGAAATACAAATATGAAATAAATAAATAAATGAATGAATGAATAAGTTTCCGAGAAGGAATCAATTGTGCATCATTAGATGAAGATTATTATCATCGTTATTGTTGTTGTTGTTGTCTTAATGATGACGATGATTTATATATTTTAACCGTGAATGAAGTTTCTGCATTTCTTGGATAGACAGGGCAGACGATGATATCGTTAGCTAGATAAAACAAAAAATACGATTCGATATTAAAGCAAGGAAATATAAATCTTAGTTTAGTTCAAAAGATCACTTTATCTAATACTTCGATACGTATATCAATCATTCCCGATCGTTCGCGAATGAAGAGAGGATTACCACACACACACACAACACACATAAATACGACGACCTCTTTTCGTTCTAAGAAATCATCTTTACGTATTAAATTATAAATATAACTTACGAATATAATACACCGATGAAAAAAAAAACCATACGCGTGATACGAATCGCGATAAGATTTTTCTTAGCGCGAATGTTAGTAGTAATAGTAGTAGTAGTAATAATATTATTCGTCGTATTGTGTCGTCATCTTAGTCAATCGTTATATAAGAATCTTTTAAAGACCGTGACGACGAGTCAGACGAATTAAGAACACGACATTAGCTTTAAATGTTCCATGAGATATGAAGAAAATTATCGTTAGAAAAAGTAGTACCCTTTATTTCTATCTTTTTCTCTCTTTAACTCTCTCTATCTATCTGTTTCTCTCTTGGGTGTGCCCTTCGAGAGATCGAGTAACGCACGAATCGATCTCAATGCGAGCAACGGGGAGGAACCCCACGACCACCAACGTCGTTTAATGAAATCCCATCCTTCACCACCACTTTTACTTTTTCCACCTCCACCTACTCCTTTCACTTGGTGTGCATTTCCTATATTTCCCATTAAAATTCATTTATATTAACTCTCGACACTTTTCAATGATCTATTTTAAAAATATAACAATTTACATATTTTTGTTGATAGGATCTTGTGTTACGCGTGCACACGGAGAACCATTGTAATCTAACACAGAAAATAGTTAATAATAAAAACGTAAGGGAACTTAGCCCACGAGTGTTGCACGTTGTCTTGGCTGATAATCGCGAACTAGCAATGGTAATGCATGATTTCCCACGTGGCAAACAGCAACAACACGGGATGCGTGTGTCGGTTATCTCTTTCTTTTATTATTTTAACACCCGTTATAATATACCATACACTCATGGGCGCATATCCTTTTTAACTTCTTTTTCATCTTTGACCTTTAACTCTCTTTCTCTTTTTATTTCGTTCATCATATTTATTATACACCTCACAACATGTGGGTGTATCTCAGTAAATTAAACAAAATTTGCAGCTGTCCGATGATCTGGAATTTATATTTTTCATTTTTTTATTTCTCCTTCTTCTTCTTCTTCTTCTTTTGCTTCTGCTGTTGATGTTGCTGTTGATGTTGGTCCTGCTGTTTGTTCCATCGTTTTAACAACAGCTGCAGCGTTAACGTCGACATGTGCCAGACTCGTATCAGAACGTTACGATCGTTTTCCGATGAGAAACACGAGGTGTATTCTGCTGCCACGGATATAAATATATATATACACACACAATCAATGGGGTTTTCGCATCGCGAGAATGAACGGACTTTATCGAGAAACGTTTGTCAGATTTTAGAAGTTGAAACGACGAGTCGTCAACCGTGTTTTAACAAACACAACACGCGTCAATGATGATCATGATGATGCAGTTGTTGTTGTTGTTGCTGTTGCTGGTGCATCCCAAATATATTCGTTTATTTTTGATTGACGCGTGGGGAAAATCCGACTAAAAATCAATCATCCGATCATCGGAAATATATATCTCGTAACTTGAAACGTTGTTAGCATTATTTTACATACATATATGTGTTTCTCTTTTCTTTTTATTCAATAAAATAACAACCACACCGCGTGAATTTGGATATCGGTATTACAAAACTAACGAATTCGGTTTATAGATAGATAGAACAAAAAAAAAAGTTTGAAATATCGTAACGTAACGTTTAACGTGAACTCGTATAAAAGCAAAAAGAATACTAATCACGTTTCGTTACGTTTACTCTCTCGCGTAACTTTAGATTATTATTATTATTATTATTATTTTATGCAATATCTCGTTAGAAATTGGATCAATCCTTTGCAAATTTCATCTCGTCTCGTGAAAGATGCACGTTTTCATCGTTGTTGAATCGAGACGTTTCCTTTTCTCGTTCATTTTTTTTTTACCCCTCCCCATCCCATTCCACTAAAGAGTATAAAAAAAATTATCAGCAAAGTGGGTTACGAAATTGGACGTTTCCTCGACAAAGACAGTTACTTCTACAACAACACACACACACACACATCGGTTGCGAATTTAATCGAAAGTTAGTTAATCGAACGAATTTCCTGTTAGGATTGAAAAAAAACAAGCAAAGAATCCAACAGGAATTGAGAACCGTTTTCTTCTTCTTCTAGTTTTGAAAGAGAAAAAAAAACCACGATTGTAACTGAGGGGAGTTGGGGGTGGCATATAATCCGAAAACAGCTTTACCCCTGTATACGTTGAAAATAGTTTCAATTCTTACATAAAAATCTAATCCCATTTGTGTGAAAAGGGATAATCTGTTGGGATAACTATAGATATCAATTTGACGAAAGGTTCATTCAAATGACTGGAATTAATCCTTCCGTGTTTCATCAAAACTAAACGACCATTTCCGTCCCTTTGAGATACTCGATCTTAATAATCTCTCCCTTTAAACATAGTAGTACTTGTGTGTCATTCTCTCTATCACTTTCTCATCGTTGCATCAAAATTCACATTTATTTTCTTTTCTCCAATTTTATTTTCTGTTTCATTCGCTGATTGAATATGACCAACCGATCCCGACCTATCCCTATCGTTTATTTTTTATGCATTGATCGGAAAAAATTTCCTAAAAAATATTTCTCCAATAGTAGTACGAATGAGTTTGTTCGTAATAATTCGCAACGATATAACCGGTTGTGCATAAAAAAAAAAAAGAAAGATAGAAACGTGATATGAAAGAATAGACGAATACGAATAACTTCCATTCGCAAAAAAAAAAAACATAAAAACAAAAAGAAAAAGAAAATAAAAATGAACAAACAAGATGATAAGGTGGAAATCGTGAGATCTAACTTGGACGAAGGTAAAACGTTCTGTTTTCAATTGCAACCATACTCGAGGAATAGAAAATACTACGTGTGTGTATACATATATCGAAGATATAAAGAATGGGGAGGAGGGGGAAGAGGAAAAGAGGGTAGGCGTGGAATATATACACAGTGTATGGAAACACACCAGTCGTTGTCGTCGTCGTTTACTTCGAAATGAAACGACCGGTTTCTCTTCTTGCTTTTTTACCGAAAAAATCGTCGAAGGTGTTCATTCGTTCGTTCGTTCGTTCGTAGTAGTCATAGTTTCCGAAAAAGATTCAGTCACGTAATCGGAAACAATTTACTTCCGTATATATATATTTTTCTCGGGGGGGGGGGGTTTTGTCGAATTTTTGTAGTAAATTTCGTTTCGAAACTATCAAACGAGAGCGTGGGTTTTTGATGATGACTAGAGAAGAGGGAGGAGGGGGATGGGGTGTGAGAGGAAGGATAATAGGTAGTGCAACATGTATCGAAAAACAAATGGGATGATAAACTGCTGGGAAACAGAGATGAAGAAGACCATTTTTGTTTTTTTTCGGTTTCTTTTTTATGCGAATATGTTTATACGAATGTATCAACCATTAACGAACGAGCTACGAGATATATTTATTTATTTATTTAATCGTCCGCGAAAACGAGAGATAGATATAAATATTCGTATGATTATTTTACTGTTCGATTTTAAAAAAAATAAAACAGAAGGAAAGAAACAAAGGCGGGCAGTAAAAAGGGGAAGCGCGGTCAGGGTTGCATAAAACCAACTCTCTTTTCCCCCCTATTTATTATTATTATTATTCTCTTTCAATTATATCATCGCGTTTTTAATTCTCTTCATCCCCTATTGTTCTTTGTATTGTTTCAGTTTTATTTTGATATTTTTGCAAATTTTCGAAATTGATATCACAATTTTATGGGAGAATCATGCAGTAACGCGAAACTCGTATAAGAAACAAACAAATCTATGTGAAAAAAAGAACCCCCCCCCCCATCATCGATGATCATCCCCCATTAATCTTATTGTTTTTTTCGTGTACCAATAAACCTTCGTATCCGAGAGAAAGTTTGATTTTTTCGGTCGCATTAAAACTCTATTGATGAAAGTTAGAAGGATGGAGGAGGAGAGAAGGGGTGGGAGAAAAAAAAACAGGTGTGATGATGTCTCGCGTCGAAAGATTTGAATTTCAAAATAAAATTATAATCATCGATTGCACGCATAATTTATATTTGAACTTTTGGAATAGGTTAACACACGCGGGATTCCCCATCGGCAAAGTAATACAATAGAAGGACGTTTCTTTTTACGATCATTAAACGGGAAAGAATGTTCTTTTTTTATTTGAGTAAAAGAAAAATAAAATGAGACAAACAACAGAGAGAAAAAAAGGAAGAAAGAGAGAAACGATTGGCCAGGTTATAGTCGTAAAGTTCCATTCGAAAGAAACGACTACTTTTCGTGAAGAAAGAATGAGAGAATGTGTTTGTTTGTTTGTGTGTATGTGTTCTACGAGTTTTAAGTGCACCATTTTGTATCGCCAAAGCAATATAGAATAAATAACAAAGAGAGAGAGAGAGAGAGAGAGATAGATAGAGACAAGGGAATAATAACGAAAAGGTGCATCTTCTTTAAAGTGTTTTTACCTTTAAAAAAACTGCTGCTGCCTCGTTTAATTACATCATCGTCACGAGAGGGTGGCTAGGAGGAGGAGTAGGAGTAAAAGAAATAAAAAAAGAATGATGGGAATGAAGAATGAGGAAAAAAATATGATGTGCTTAGTCGAGTCTCTCGTTGCAATTCATTTAAAAGTGGCCACTATTGCTGCACTGGGCTATATCACCATTTTCGGAATAGAACGCATAAATGAATGAAAAAAAAAAAAAGAAAAAAATGAAAAGGAAAAGAAAAAAAGGGGAGAGAGAACTCATTCATTCCACTCGAGACTCTCTCTTCGAAGCCTCGTCGTGTCGTTGTCGTGTTGTCGTGGTTATGATTGTGATTGTATGTGTGTCTGTGTATGTATGGGAGAACGGAAAGTGAGAAAAAGTTCGGGAAGGAAAATAAAAAAAATGCACCGAACAAAATTCTCATATGGAATATTCGTTGTTAACGAGCACAGAACTAAGGGGTGGGATGGGGAGAGGAGGGGAGTGGATGGTAGAAAGAGGGATGAGAATTCAGTGTTGTTCGTTCTTTTGTTGACGCCGCCGACAATGACGATATATGACGACTAGTATGACAATGATGACATGGAAAAGAGGTAGGATAAGGTTCATCATGGTGGTGGTTCCTGGTGGTGGGGTTAGTGATGGTGGTGTGTTTCTCGTTGAATTTCCACGCGTTTCCGCGTAATAATCTTTCGTTGGAAATTCTCTTCGCACCATTAAAGAGAGAGAGAGAGAGAGATAAAGATAATGAGAGTAATACGAGTAAAGCCGGCGGCAGCGTGTCTGTGCCACCATTCGTTTGGTTGGTTGGTTTGTTGGTTGGTTGTAGTACGCCTACGCTACATACCAACAAGTCGACTCGTGCGAACGATTATAATCCATCCTTATGTGTTACTAGGGAGAAATCGTCACACTATACTCAATGGGGAATTGAGAACAGTTCTCTTAATATGAGAAAGAAAGAAAGAGAGAGAGAGAAGTAAAAGAACATTAATAAATGTCCTTCAATTCTTTAGTATCGCATAGCTCGGCTTCAACTCGTTAAATTAATCGGAATACGAGGAAAAAAAATGTCCATGGTCTTCTACTACTTTACCCTTTCTTTCTTTTTTCTTTTTTTTTTTTATGGGATACAAACGAACAAAGTAAGAAAATAAAAAGAAAAAGAGGATGGAGTGCAGGGAAAAGGAATGGAAGAAAATTAAGATAGGATAGAAAGTAAAAGGAGAAAAAAAAAAGTAAAAGAAAGAGAGAGAGGGGGGAGGAGGAGGAGAAGGATAGAAACTGGAAGGAAAATTCTTTTGGTGGCCGTGCTTTGAATCGGAGCACACAACGTGCGCACCTTTCATTCTCACACTCCTGTTCACCTTTTACGAGCACCGATGCAATTTTCTTTCGTTCCATATTGCCACCTTTCCTATAATAATAATAATAATAATCTTCTTCTTCTTCATGCCTTATATACGAACTAAACGAAGATTCATTTTTGTGTCTTGTTTTTGTTTTGTTTATCTCGTCCACTTGGAAAAATTGCTAGGACAATGTAAATTTCGGTTTTGTGATTGGATTCTAAACACGCCTTGTTTTTTTTTTTTTTTAAGATATTCCATTTAAAAATCATAGAGAAAAAAGTGTCGTTTAGTAAGCGATGAGCTTTGAAATATTTAATCGTAAAAAATGAAATTGTGGAATTTGCTGCCAGTCCGGACACACGCAAACTTCGTAAAAATGTCAACAACGACGACGGACGGACGGACACACGTGCGTGCCGTATAAAATTATTCGCATTGTATTTATTTTCTCTCTTACTCCTACTACCATTCTTGTATTTCTTTTTCTGTTAACTGTCCAGCAAACGCTAATGAAGAAAAATCGAAAAAGTCTAGCACACGCGACGGTTCTTGGTAACAAGGCGTGTTTTACGAGCCCCGATTAGGACACCGGATTTTTACATACTCTTGCTCGAGCATTCAACCGAATATATATATATATATACATGCACACACGTGTATTTCGTTCGATCAACCGATAACACCATCAACACCATCACCACCAATACCACCATCACCACCAATACCACCACCACCACTAACAATATTGAGAACGTTCGAATACTGTTCTTACAATGCCGAGTATAAAGCAAGTTTTCGTAGCAGTATAATTCGTACCGATTGGTTCTCCCCATGAAATAAAATTCATTCTACTCGAGAGGCGAAATTCTAAAACCCGTTTTCGTTTTATACCCGGTTGAAAGAAAATGCACACGGGTCGTCGTCGTAGTGTAAAGTAGAGAAAATAAAGGAAAATAATAAAAATGCAAGAATAAATATTTGCAAAACATTACTACGTCGATATATATGTATATATATATGTATGTGTGTATATAAATGTACGTACGGTGCAACCCAGTTGCAAAAGGGGAAAAAAAAAGGTTGCTCAAGCTCGTATATTTGACTACTCTCTAGCTTTGTGATGCTAATTCTACTTAACGAATTCTGGAAATCATGAATTTTCTTGGTAAATATTATAAACAGAATTAACAATAATTAAATAAACAGAAAAAGTGAGTCGTATCGTGGTAATGTACGTGGGCACGCTTTTAGAAAAATCACGGTGTACTGGAAGAAGAATTAAATGAAAAATAAAGAAACCGAAATAGGGCACCTTCCCCTTTTTCTCTCTTTTCTAAGTTTTTTTAAGGTTTTCTACATTTTTTCTTTCTTTAGATACAATCTAAAAGTTCTACGTACACATATACACATATATATTACACGTATACTACTTGAATATTATATAAATACGTCAAAATTGTCAAAAGTATCAGAATTATGAAATTCCTATATTATCGGGATACGAATCTTGCTGAAATTGCAAGACTCGTCTGTTCGTTTGACCGACATTTAACGCAGAATCGACTAACCTACTTCTGACAAACGCAGGAATCGCGTCACGTAGCAAATGAGAAATCTCTGATAACGGAACAACCATAATTTTGGCACTTAGATAAATTGATCACACATTCTATATATGAAATAATCAGCTCAGTGTTCTTCACACCTTTCTACAGGGAAAACTTTGTCGCGAGATTAAAAAGCTTTGTAGTCGTTTGTTTCACAACAGTTGCTTCTTTTTTTTCTTGTTTGTTTTATTTTATTTAACGAGAAATATCAAGGTGTGTCCAGTGTCTTCTCATCGATTTCGAATAATATTCTCGCGTTTATCAGAAGACAACGTCTATCAATATATACACCATGTTATCATCTTCCTTTCGACGTGTGATGCATACACACACACACATACACACATATATATATACTCTAGTTCGAATCCCAGGAGAATGAACTATCATCCACGATAAATGTAATACGAACATACACACATATATACAGATAAGATAATTCAACAATTCGATCGAACCGAAAAGGGTTTTATAATTCCCTTTTCTTAATTTCATATTATTATTATTATTATTATTGAAACATGATCGCTAAAAGTCTTTGAATATTTTCTTAAGATTATTCCTAAAAAAGATTTCAATTACTACGAAATAAATTTGATCACTTATTTTATATCTTTACAGAGAAAAGAGATATATCATCATCGGATTGGCTGACACCAGACCGAAATAAATACGAGAACACCTGACGTAATAGTTTCGCGATGATGATATCTTACGTTATTATTATCGTGAATTCACTTCGTTCTAATTGGATTTCAACGATCTACCGAAAAAAAGGAGACCAAGTGTTTTCGATACCATAAATTTAATCAGTCGATGGATCTTAACTCGAATAAACGAGACAAATCATACGATATTATTAAGTACAGTGTAGAAATCAGGAATAATGATTCTACGAAAAATATTACCACCGATAGAATAACGTAGTCAAGTTCGTGGCGGGCTCTTTGACGTACGCCACGAAAAAACCCCCATAAGAACACTAACTTTACATTTTTAATATTTAAATATAAAAAAAGAATATATATTGAGAAAAAAATATTCGAGAGAGAGAAAGAGAGAGAGAGAGAGAGAGAATCAGAAGAATATATTATTTCGTTAAACGTGTTGAAAAATTCGGTTCTCCTCGAAGGATCCGGTCTCTCGGTTCGGATTACACCATGTAAAAAAACCATCTGGAAAATTAAAAGAAGAGAAAGGAAGGAAGGGAAGGAAGGAAGGGTCACACAAAATGGGAGCAGCGAAATTCGTGTTGGGTAGTGCGATTCTCGGAGTATTTTGGAGCTGTTTGCTGATGAAAGGTGTCCTGACGAATTCAACGAACAGGTGCGACTATTCGCCCTGCTCCTGCGATCACTATGGCAGGTTGACTTGCGACTGCAAAGAGGAAGGAGAGGTAAGGTTACTTTTCTCGATTAACGATGAAAACCAATCGATTATTTTAGATAGATAATAATAATAAAAGAAAAGAAGTATACAGCTTGTTCTTTGTGATTTATTTTAAAGTTATCCTCGATAGATTTTTCTTTTACGAAATTATATTTAAATCGATTTGTCGTAAAAGACAAAATTACACAAGGAAAACAAAAAACAATATAGATAAACATATATGAGAACTTTATTCAGTATTTTCTCTCGTTCAAATGTATAATTCTTGATGATAAAGGTTCATAGGTAACTTGGACATGAAAAGAAGTAGAACTTAATTTAACCCTTCTTTGCATGATTTTTTCTTTTCTTTTAAAATAAATCAGGGTGATGTAATTAATGCTCTAGATTAAAGGAAAAATATTTTTAAAAATCCTAGTGCTATTTTTTGACAACTGCGTTTTGTTGTACGCAATAGTCGCTTAAAAAGTTGCCAGCAACAACAAATATACAGTACAAGGGTTTTGAGTAGCTTTTTTTTTGTTGACTAAATATTATGATTGAAATTTCTATCATCATGCAAAGAAGGGTTAACTAAGTTGGACGTTTCGTACCTTCATTGGGACTTATTCGGCAACTTAATCTTTAATAACGATCAAATTAACGAAATTTAGATGCGTTATGTTTGGAATATTAACATAAAGAGAAATGTATGTCGAATTAAATAAAAAAAGACGCTGAACTGTAAAAATTAAGTTGCTGAAGAAGTCCCAATAAAGGGACTTACTTGTCCAACTTAGTTAAATTAAGTTCTACTTCTTTTCATGTCCAAGTTCTCAATGAACCTTTATCATCAAGAATATATGAGAACAATGTGCAGAAAAAATTTACATTTTCGCTAAAAAAAAAAATTATGAATACTTCATATATCAGTTTTATTTAAATCGAATTCATTTCCTTCGGTACCCCGGTTACACTCATTTCATTTCTTTGCATCTGTCACCACCATCCATATCCCTTACCTTCGATTATTTCCTACCATTTTTTTTCCCCTATTCTTATCTCTTATTCCCACCATCCCTTTATAGAAGAGAATCCATTCATTCAAGAAACCGCGCGATTACTATCTTATGAAAAATCTCGAATACGATGCGAAAACTACGGTTTGGAGTCCTCGAGAAGTTCTCCTTTGTTCCCCCATGAACGTTACCCCAACTTCGAATTATCGAATCTAGATAAGGGTATAAATAGAGAGGATCCCTAAGAAACGAAAACATCCTTTCTTCTCCGATACTCCACACCCACGCTTTTACACGCTTCTTCTTCTTATTTTTCCCCTTTTCCTCTATCAACAGAATTCAACTCACTCTCGGAGGTGAAATTTATCTCGTAAATTTGTTAGAAAAATTCTACGAGAAAATCACATTTTGTATTTCCAACTGTGGCAGGGGGGGGGTGGGTGGGGAAGCTTCTTTTTTTTGTTTCTTCTTTTGTTACACAGCGATTAAATATTACGCAGAATAATACGTAAATGTTCATTTAAAAATGCTATAACATACTTGTTGAAAGATTCAACGTTATAAAAATTTCAAAGCGAGAGAACTAGCGAAAAATATGAGTAAATTATATACTGGTGGTGGTTTTTTTTTTGTTTCTTCTTGTTCTCTTTCTCTCTCTCTCTTGTATATAGGGCTACCTACCACCCTATACGCTATAAATTAGAACGTGTTTACGCAAATCGCGGGGCCGACACGAGTGGCAGGTAGGCAGGCAGGTAGATAGGTAAGATGTTTGTATGTGTGTGTGTATGTGTGTTATATGCCGAGGGCGTTTTCTTTCCCTTCGCACTTTTCCCTTTCGTATTTCACTCCCTTCCTTCTTTCCCATCCATGTTCAAGAGAACACACAGCTATGGTGTAGCAAACGTTTAGAATATTTATCGCATTGAACGTAGGTTGTGTCCCAAAGGTAGGAAAAATGTTGCTGCGTGTTTAGAAAACTGGCAGAATTCGTTGAAGGATCGCGGTCACGCGTCTCGTTGAATTTTATCGTGAAACAACCCTTATCTAAACCACCTTCCCCCACTCCACCTCCCTTTCAAATATGTCCGGAGATAAAGGGATAACGTTTTTAAGATTTCGAAAAACAAAACAAAAACGAAAAAAAGAACAGAAAAAAAAACAAGATAATGAAATATTGCAATTACAATAATAACGATCAAAAACACAATTCTTGCATATGAGAAAAGAATAAACGAATACATATATTAAAGAAAAAAAAACACACACACACACCACGAACTCGGTGAGAAAATCATAAAAATTTGTATAAACATCCTAAAGAAGAAAAAAAATGAGAAAGAGAGAGAGAAGAAAAGTGCGTTGGTTGGGTTATTATCATTATCAAGGGAACATAATCTCTGAGTCCTCTTAAAAAATGTTTTAACTATCCTCCTTCTTCTATGGTCATATTATATATATATATTCTTCTACACACCATCATCGCTATTGTTCGCTATAGAACGTTCTTTGTCTCTTCTCCGAGAAATGCAACACGTATCATATGTATGTATATGTAAGTACAACGTATAATATACAAAGAAGTGCAGTATAATAATGCAAGTGAAGGAGGAACACGTAGGAGATACACGTTGCAGTAGTATACTTTGGAAATGCAGTAAACTCGATCCGTAAAAGCCGTGTCCGTGACGAAATGACCACGAAAGAGAAAGAGAGAGAGAGAGAGAGAGAATGAGAAGAGGGGAAAGGGGGGGGGAGGAGGAAGAGGGAGCAAGGTTTTACGTCGTAGAAACCAATCGGATTGGTTGAACTAAAACAGAAACTCATTTTCCTTTTTGTTATTCAAACATATTTTTTTGTACTCTTTCCTTTTTAGAAACATTACATGACAATGACTATGCGACAGCCATAGTAATTACCTTGATCTCATAGTCAAGTTCATGGTTAAAAAAAAAAAAAAGAAAAGAAAAGTGATGTTAATTATGTGCATAGCATTTAAATGGAGTATCAAGAAAATAAACACGGGATTTATATGTTTTTCTAATCGTTCCGAGATGATTAAGATGAAATTGAAGAAAAAATGAAACTGTGACGATGATGATGATGATGAATATGATTTGATATTTGTCTTTTTTCTTCTTATTTAATCCTTTTTTGTATTTTTTTTTGTTTTCTTCTTTTTTCCTAACAATAGGTAGAGAAATTTGTTTCGCAAATTGAAGTAACAGTTTCCTAGCATGAATTCAACCAACAACAGAGTCTCGACCAACAAAGACGAACTATTTAGAAGTTAGAAACGTTCTCCATTTCACGAATTACCTAAATAACAAACGCGTTTCGCTTCTAGGAACGGTGCATGGATTATGGTTACGTAGATGCAAGTATAATAGATACTCGAAAGTACGATGATGATGATGATGATGATGATGATGATGACGACGAGAATATGCGAGAAAATTATTTGTCTCTTTGTTGTACTCTAACCATTTACATATACATACATACATATACATATATATTAAACGAAAAAAAAAATAAAAACGTGAGAATAATAATATTGAAACAAATTGTCGCGATAAGCTTCGAGTATCGTTTAATTCAAAACAATGGGAATAATAATATTTAAAAAAAAGCAAAAGGAATGAAATAAAAATAATATTTAATGTAGGTGTGTGCATGTGTAAACCATAGAAAATGATCTGCCATCATTGATTCCGCATAATTAATATCAGACACTCGTGTACTTTGTTTTATACTCATTCATAGCATTGCAACAATTAATTTTTCGGCCCATCGATTCTCAAAATGCATTAACAACAACCTTTCTCTTATTTCTTTTACAGCCTACCAACCCTTTAATTACTCGTTGGTGCGTTGTGATCGTTCGATTTTGAATTTCAAATAAAAAAAAAAGAAAGAAAACGAGAACAGAAAAAGGAACGCGATTGAACAGATATATGAAAAAAAGGGTAGCAATAAATTTGCAAGTTTTACCTGTTTGCTTTAGCGTTCAGTAACGAAAAAGGGATGGGATGGGAAGGGATGGGCAAGGGGGTTGGTTGGGGTAAACGATGCATGAGAGGAAAACGATGGAAGTTAATAAAAGAGGCTTTTGTAATCGACCTCGACCGATATTCCCCACAGTGTTTCCGGATTCCGATAAACTACCGGATGTTGCCACCGTTCCTACGTGTGCCTGTGGTAATCCTTTAAACTTATCGAATTTCCGTGCTTTAACCAACACCCTTACCACCACCCTTACCACCACCATGACTAACTCACTCGTATGTATGTATTATCTCTTTTTCGGAAAGGAATGTTAGAGAAATAGTATAAACCCCTTTAAAACTTGTTGTATTCAACTACAGAATAGTAGTCCCAAGATTCTTCCTTTTGAATAATTGACAAAGACGTGAATAATCGAGCGTGCCGGCTTTTACCGGATGTGGTCTCCTTAAATTTACTCCACCACTCACCACCCACTCACAAGGGACAACAGAAATAGAACCGCAGGAGTATTAAATTCAGGTATTAAAAGTAAAAATGAGAAAAAGATGAGAAAAAATAATGCAATAATAACGTTATGGGGATGGGAGGGTGTGTGTGAAGAAAAACAATGATTTCTCGTGAGAAATATTATTTAAATTAATAAATAAACGACACACACCATAATCGTACCAATCCCCAGCTGGGATTAGGTGGATCCTTAATAACTTTCTTATTCGAGATTAATTATTGTTTTTCTATCCATCAAATGGTGTTTGAAACCACGTATGGAAAATTAGTTGGTTGAAAAGAGAAGGGGGAAAGGGGAGAAAGGAAATTGAGAGGAGAATGGAACACGGTGGTGTAGGAAACCACGATACTGGTCAAAGATGGGCACAATGCCCACCAACGAACGAATCTGCCTGTTCTTTATGAGAAAATTGTTTCGTATAAATCATTTATAGATCGTAAAACGAGCTTTTTTTTGGTTTTCATTCATTCTTTCTTTCTCACTTACTCATTTTATCTTCCTATCAATCCTTTATCTTCATCGTCATCTCGTTCGATGGAAACATTATTCCGCACGAGTGTTCTTCAACCCTTCCCCCTCAAAACCACCACCACCACCACTACCACTACCAACCCCTTTTCCAAAGAAGATTTTCATCGTTTCCAATTGAAATCGTTAGGACTGAAATGCATTTTCATTTTCTAACTCCTCCTCCTCCTCCTCCTACTCCAATGTTGAAAAGAGAAAAATTCTTTGATTCCGGTGCAAGCATACTAAACGAGAAAGATAAAATGAAATAAAATAAAGAGAATAAAAAAAATGAAATATAGAAAAAATACAATCGACAATCAGGAGGAAAGAAGGACCAAGCAAGACATGGATTAGGTTTTTCAACCTCTCACTGTGTATGTGGAGGTGTGGTATGTGTGTGTATGTTTTATGCTGGACGATCGACAATCTCTCTCTCGTCTGAGCATCGTATCGAAAATAAGAGAAGAAACGTTTCGAGATGATAGAAAAGAACGTGCTTCTACCATCGTGGGAACATTTTAAAAAAGGGGAAGTAGAAAAAGTAGAAGAAGAAGAAGAAGAGGAAGAAGAAGAAGAGGATGATGATGAGGGTTGGAAAGAATGAGATGAGAAGATTTGAAGCTTTGGGAAGGATGCTGCTACTAGAGCTTGCTAGCTAGCTAGCTAGCTCTATGTCGAACTATGTACCTTTGAAAGAAACTCTGATGGTGTTCCCAATGGGGAATCGTCCCAAGTAATCGAGAAGCACACCTTCGACGCGATACTCTACTCTTTCCATCCCCATCTTCTTTTTTCTTAACCCCTTTCCTAACCCCCATTTCTCTCTCTCTCTCTCTCTCTCTCTCTCTCTGTTTCTGTCTATCTTTATTCTCATTTATTCTTCTTCTTTTATCATTTACTTCGTACGACAAGAGAAGATGAAAATGTCTAGAGAATTAAACGCGAAACTCGCTCGATAAAATTACACGCGACTCTGTTGAGAAATAAAAAAGAGAAAACGAGAAGAATAATAAAGACGAGACGTTTAAAAAGAAAACAAAAAGAGAGAGAGAGAATATCGTTGCTTCTCTCGTTTCCGGTCTCTTTCTCTCTCTCTCTTTCTCATTACATTCTCCATCTTTCTCTCTCATTCTCATAGGTATTTTTTTTTTTTTCTTTCTTCTCCTCCAACGCATGATGTATTTATCGCTATCCTCTTCGTTGTTTTTCTCTCTCTCTCTCACTCTCTTCCACTGGTTCCTTTTTTTTTTATATAGGTCCCCCTCTCTTTCTCTCGTGGGAGAGAGCAAAACTGTTGGGAAATAAAATTCAGATTCCCGGTGCGGCCCTTGAAATTTACGACAATGACCCTCCTGGCCTGTCTGCATCCCTCCTACTTCTATACACTCTAACCTCCCCCACCACCACTATTCCTATCCCTTCCAGTAAGTACGAATTTGTGCTTCGAGACACCCGGTATACACATTTAACGATACTATACTCTTCCGCAAATGCTACTTAATGTTTCGGGATCCTTAGCTTTCTAAAACGTATTTTTTCTACGTAAAAAGTATTTTCAAAAGTTTTGATACGATAAATAAAACCACCCTCGTTTTGTTTCTTTTTCCTAAAAAAAGAAAAGAGACAAGGAGAAATTAAAAAAAAAAAGGAAGGAAGGAAGGGAAATATAATGGAGAGAGAAAAAAAAGGGACTGGGGGTTGGAGAGGGGATGAAGATTCACGGGGACGTGGATTAATTAATGAAATTCAAGAGCACAAATTTTGGTATTTTTTTTTGTTGATTTTTCGAAAGGAAAATCCATCGTTGGTTAGAACTCGGATATTGTCGAAAGAACAAAGGTCGAAACGGGCCAGCAGGATGGTGGGCGACACACGTGCATCCACCAGAAAGAAAAAGTAAAGTAAAAGAAAGAGAGAGAGAGAGAGAGAGATTGCACGGATCAAGATGGTAATGCGTAGAAACTACGGTGAGCTTGCGAACAAGAAAGGGTAAAAACAAAATGGAAGAAAAAAAAAGGACCGAGAGAGTGAGTGAGAAAGTAAAGTACAAAGGTTTCGTTTTCATCGTAAAAGAGAAAGAGAGAAAGAGAGAAAGAGAGAGAGACGTAGTGCATAAAAGCTGCGTCTTTTATTCCACACTCCCGTATGTTCTTTTACCTCCCATTGAAAACACTCTCGGTTGGTTCTTCTTTATCTTCATCGTAGCCTACTACTACTATGAGAAAAAAGAAAAAGAAGAAGGAAGAAGAAGTTACGTTCTTCTACTACGAGAGTCAAATCATCATTTTTTCTATTCCTATACTACATTTTTTAAATCTAATGTATCTTCTTCTCTATCTGTTCTTCATCATTTTCCACTTGCTGCTGCTACTTTTCTTATTTTTTTTTTTTTTTATTTATTTTCTCCTATCTTTTTTTTTTATTTGAAAAATTCCATTCCTCTTCGGGTATTTTCACGCGTTACTGTTCTTGACCCCCTTTTCTTTTGAGAGGAAGAAAAAAAGGGAAAAAGAAGGAGAGTAGGAGCTGAAAAGAAAAATATCATACTTTTAATAATAATAATAATAATAATAATAATAAGAAGAAGAAGAAGAAGAATAAGAAAAAGAGAAGAAAAATAAATATCGTAAGAAGGAAAAGGATTATAAATAAAACGTACGAGATGAGAAATTTGAACACGTCCTTTCTTTTCGAGAAGAAAAGAGATAAGAAGACAGACAGGAAATACGGTCAGTCTCCTTTTGCTAGTATTTCAAGTGTTTCTCATTTGATATCCGAGATTCTCTAGGGAATGAAGAGGGCGGGGGGTGGGTCAGTTTCGTTTAAATGACAAAAACACACGAACAAGATGAAAAATGATCGGAAAGCTTTCTTCTCGAGAGAGACCTTATATTTATAATAATAATTAATTAAAAGATAAACTAATTCGATTTCTTTTCATTCAAATCAAACTTGTATCACGTTACAAAAATAACACACATATAAAAAGTGATATAAAAGATAAGTAATGGGGGTGGGGGGAGGTTCTCTTGAAACAATCGATTATTATCCTATTGATACGATTAACACTTATAAAGAATCACAAAGTTACGTTTACGTAAACGAGCACGCACAAAAACGAACAGATATATTGCAAATTGTGTGTATAATAATGTGAATATATGTATACACACACATAATAATAAAAAGAGATATAGTGAACCCCTGCTGACTATCGTAACGAGCATAATACGATATCGAGATATCGGTTCCTTTGTCGAGGGATTAATCGTGCTGGAAATATGCCAGGAATGTTCCTTCTTGGACGATTGTTTGACAAACATAGCATTCGATGAAGTGGTAGACAGTTTAAAGCTTTACTCTTTATAAGAGAGAGAGAGAGAGTTTACTTCGTAGATTTTATTCTTGAAACTCTCTTCTTCTTTATCTGCATGAAATGTGATCTCTTCTATATATTCTATGTGTCCATAAAGGGATAGGAATAAAAAGTAGAACAAAAAATACTACTCGAGTTTAACTTCTATCTACCTGTTCTCTAATGTACCTGCTATTGCATCTGCTGATGCTATATTGCTACTACTGACTTTTCATGTTATTACTGATCGTATAAACCTGTTATTATTCGTTATAATTCTCTTACCATTTCAAAAATGAATTTTAAACTGTTTCCACTTAGACACGGTCTGTCCCATTAATTTAAACACATCCCTTGATTGTTAGTTTAAATGAATCGGGAAAATAAATTAAGTTTGCGCATGAAATTCTCGTTAAAAATCGACTATCAAGCTGTATATGGGGAGAAGGAAGGAAGGAAGGAAAATAAAAAAACAAGTCAAGTCATATACGTCGCGAAAATATCAGCCATGAGAAAAGTTGATTTTCGTATTCGTGTGATTATGATAACGATATTAGTCGTGTAAATTGACACGGTACAGGTTTTCGAAAGGAAGTATATACACGCGTTGCTAACAATTATAAAGTAATTAGTCTTGTAATTACGGCTATTCGAGCTTTATTAAAAGGGCCTTCTATTCGGCGTATCGGATTGAAACAATTCGAATATAAACGTGAACAATTAACAAAACAAAAAAACAGACAAATACAACTATTTACTTTTTTAAACAAAAGAAAAGTGATGTGTGTACTTATGTACTCACGTAAGAAGTTATACTTCTTTAACTTACCAAAACGAACATAACCTAAATAACTTCAATTATCTCGCGTACCAATATAATACTCTACATTTGTCGAAAATACAATAATATCATAAAATAAAATGAAGATATTAAATAACATTGATAAAGGTTTTAATTAATATGTACAATCTAATTTGTTTATTTACGAATTACTTCATGCCGTAAATTAGAAATCACTTTTCCCGCGCAAAACGTATAAATATCGACAACTTCGTGGTGTCGATTTTTCGGTCGCATCTAAATTCACTTTTCAAAACGCGCCAAAAGAAGTATAACTTAAAAAAAACATATATTAATATGATTTCATTAATAAAATACATATTTATTAACGCAAATTTATTGTATTTTTTGTAGGAATTGATCCTGAGCACGGAAAGCGAGAAGAAATTGAGCCCGCACACTAGTAGAATAGTCGTGAACAATTGTTCGTCCGTGATCGTAGCGAACTCAAGTTTGATATCGATGATTGGTCTACGATCAGTGGATCTGGTGAACGTGGGGAATCTAAGCTTGGTCAGGCAAAGCTTCAAACTTTCGTCTCACAGCGCGCGGACCAGGATATCCGTGAGGAACTGCAGCATAGACGTGCTGCCTAGTTTCGTGTTTGGTGGGGACGTGGAAGCGATAAGCTTCGAGAACGTGAGGATAGGTCAGTTGAGCGCGTTCGCTTTCGCGAATCTCTTTCACACGGATACCCTGAGGTTGGAAAATTGTCAGATCGAGAATACGGAGGCGCAATCATTCAAAAAGTTCGACGTGGGATATTTGCACGTGATCGGTGGTAGTTTCGGTGAACAAGTACCCAGTCGTACGATGAACGACATCGAGGTACACCACAAGTTCATGCTGGACGGTGTCAAAATGGGTATTGTCAGGAGCGAGGCATTCATCGTCAGAAGCCCACGTACCGTTGCAATTCAAAACTGTCTGATAGACGGTCTTGAAAGCGAGGCCTTTGATGTCACAGCTCAAGGTGCAGTAATAATAAAGAATAACACCTTTGGAAGTTTAGCCGTAGGCGCGTTTCTCGGTATAAGATCCGATCCGGAAACTAGGCCACCACCGGCTTCCTCATCTTCCGCTAATCTTCACGACCTCATATTCAAGAACAACAGCATATCCACGTTCGAGGAGGGATCATTAATGTTCGATCGTTCGAGCTTTCGCCCAGAACTCGATGATCTGTTGGTAAAACAATCCTGCGATTGTCAGATGTTACCATTATGGAGGAACAACGTATTAAATTACACTAACGTATACTCGAGATTTTACATGAGACAAAACGCGGTTGTACCACCTATTTTATCGAGCCAAGATTCATCTATAGAATCACCGGATAGTTTTCTATTTTGCATGGACGTTGATACGATTGTTAGTTTCAACGATTACGATACCAGACATTGTTCTTTAGGTGGATCTATGCTGATATTGATTGTCGCGATAGTTGGTATTATCGTTACGTTAATCATTTTCGCGTGCCTGATCGTCTGGTGTTGCAAAAGACGACGTAATAACGATAGAAAACGATGGATGAGCGTACCGACCAATGCACCTGATGTTGTATCCAAGAAAAATGGTGTCATAGGTAGAGAAATAGCAACGACGGGTACCCCGGTAGACAGCAGGATAACCATGGTCGTACCAGATGGTAGACTCTACAGGGAAACCGAGTTCCATGTTATCGTAGAAAAGGCCGAGCCCCTGACCACCGAATTGTAACGAGAAGCCTCATACGACTCGGCGCGTTCCATCAACGATCGAATTCAACATTTCGAGGATGATCATCAAAGGGAAATGGAACCGTCGGGCTCGTCAACTGTCGCCAATTCTTCCTCTCGTTTTAGAGTGTACAAGCTTTGATACGATACGTCCGAAATAAATAACAATCAATTGAACGAACAACCTAATTGCAATTGCAACTGCAACTGCAATTGCGCAACAAGAACGACGACAACAATTTTAACGATCAGACTAAACGTTAAGCGTGTGATTTTTTTGATGTGCGTGAATCATTTTTCTTCTTCTTCTTCTTCTTACTCTTCCCTTTCGTCGTAAAATAATAATGTTAGGGAAAGGAAAAGAAAAGAAAAGAAAAATCATAGAACTGGAACGTTTTTGATAAATGCGAATGATGATTGTACCTCCTTAACGGTTCCTCCAAAACTTTTGTTTCTCCACGTTTACATGCGTGCATTATATGCGACAAACAAACAAAATGATATCTATATGTATAAGACGATAATGTGATGCGTTATGTCAAAGAAAAAAAAAGCAAACTATAACAACACGTAGTCCTGACTATAAATCCTGCAACTGGCGATTGAAAATGTTGTCAATGAAACAAAAAAAAATTAAGATAACCCCTTACCTATTCGCTATTGGATTTGTTTAGTCGAGTATTCTCCTATTAGTACAAGACAGTGTTCGTAAGCTTCCCATTAACATATCATAAAAGCACGAGTACCGATTATCCGAGCATCTCTTTGACCATTCTTTTACTTTTGACCATCTCCCATCTATTGTTATACTTTTTTTTTCTTTTTCCTTCTTTCCTTCCTTTTTTACTTACTTACTTACTTACTTACTTACTTACTTTGAGGCGGTCACGTTCCTCTCAGCGGTTAAGAGATTTCCGATCGAGGTCACGAGGACGGTTAATCGGTCGTCGTTGCTAGTTAAGTTTATATCGTTAGGTAGCTTTCAAAAGAAGACGGCTGGTTATCTAAGAAGAAGAAGAAGAAGAAGAAAACTACTACGACGATGACGACGAACCACGTTTCAAGTAATACGAGAAAACACAGAGATGAGTTTCTTCATTTAGAATTCTATTCGTTCCTTTCAAAAGCACGGATTCAGTAGAAGAAGAGAGAGAGAGAGAGAGAGAGAAGAACCTTAAGAATCTTCTTAACAAACTTAATCTCGTAATTTTTCATTTGATTTTTAATTCTAAAGCAACCAAACCAGCCAGAGAAAGAGATATATTAAATATACCCGTCAGTTATACATATATACAAACACACCAACCAACACATGTATATTATCTCAATAGAAACAGATTAACGTTAGCTAAAAAAAAGAAAGAAAAACAAAAAAAGCTCGGATAATAAAATCACCTAAATTATTTCCTTATTCCATTATGATTTCAATAACGAGAGACATACAAACGATGCAAGTGAAATCACTTATTTCTTTTTTCTTTTCTCATTAAATAATTAAACAACAAGAGTCATTACGTAAAAGATTAATAAGAAACCGATAGATCCTAGATCTGAATTTGCATAGACACAGAAGATGCAGAATAAGAAGAATTAGAAGAAAAAGATCCTAACAAAAAAGTGCAATGTTTAAAAAAAATGTTGTCAGAGTATTTTGTTCTTATTTTATTCTCTTGGTTGTCGTCGTTGTTGTTGTTGTTGTTGTAATGCTTGTAAAATGGTATCCAATACTTGGGCGAAAATTCATGCATTATTAATGCACACTACTCGTCCCTTTTGCAACGATATTCCAAAGGTAATTTCACCTTAGCCTGGAGCGATAACGTCAGGCAGAAATTGGGCCTCGAAGCTTCCGAGATTATTGCACGAGATGACCTTCGTCTTACGCTTTACCTTGAGCCTTGAGAAAATCTTTCAAGGTTTAGATATATTACTATTAATTATCGTCAGGATTTGCGAGCGTTATACAATGCAATAACGTTGAAACAAACAAAGAAATGCATAGATACGTGCGAAATGCGGAGTGCTCGTTAGAAAATATTGCGGAGTATACGTCTAACGATTATCGCTTTTTGGCGAAAATTAAGTTTTCTAATCGACCGTTTATTAGTTTTAATTATCGTGAAACTGTGATATACGAACAGCTGACTATGTAATTTGTTTTTTTTACATCGAACGACGTACGATCGACGATGAAGAATAAAGATCACTACGCTAAATAATTTTCAGCGATAAAAACCTATTGAGATTATTTTTATTATAAAACCCCGACAACACACGCATTAGACCTCGTTAACTGTATTGTAAGATACTGGCTGTTCTCGTACGATAAGAATAAATAACACGTCGGATCGATGATAACGGCCGTGTTAATTACAGCAATACGGAACGAGTTGGTTTCTTTTTTTTCTTTTTTTAAAACGACGACAACGATTTATCCATGCACAGTCGTCAGGGACAATTAATATACGACAATTTTCTTGGATTTATTATCGTGCCAACACAATTCGCGTTAACTTTGTCATATCTCTCAGAGCATGATTTTTAAATGGTAAAATGTTTGTTCTACAATACTCGAGGACAAGATGTCAGAAAACAAGATACATTCTTTTCGTTAGATTCGCAACATCAACGCCAAAGGTGTACAACAATAATTATTCTAAATAATTCTAAAAAAAAGAAGAAAAATAAAAGATCATCGTGTTATTTGATACTCCAGTCGCGTAGCAGTATCTATTATCTACTAAAGCAAATCTTTCAGCGTATTTCTTCTTTGATCCTTTCGAAAAAATATCTATTTTCTAGTTGCGACAACGACGATGAATAATAACGAGCACGTGAGGGAATGTAACCTGTTGAATTTGATCTTTGTAGTTGCCACTTGGAATATTTTAAACGATTAACGTTAAATCGAATCGTATGATTTTAATGAAACTTACCTAAAGGGAAGAACTCCGTCGAGAGCTTGAGAAACAGTTGGTGGCGATGACAAAGCAAATCCTCGTCCGAGTAAGACCGAATGCACGGAGAATATCTGCTTCGCAGTTTCTTGCATAGTCTCGTAGTCGTTCTGCACTTCCTCCGCTGTAATCAGATACATAATGTGTAAAAAAAAAACAACAAATCTATTATTTATTCGAAAAAAAAAAAAAGAAAAATATTTGAAATGTTTCATAGACCTACCAGACACTGGTGGTAATATTAGATTTTTCTTCATTAAACTTGCGCTACATGCTCCACCAAGAAACGACAGTTCAATCTCTAAATTCTTCAAACCATTTCCAGATGTAATCCAATCGTAACCGATGACCAAACACTTGAAGCCATAAGTATTTGATTTATCATTCTTCATATAATCCGACGCCGTTTCCAAAGAAAATATTACTTCGTTTCCTACAAAATATTATTTCATTTATGATTTTTTGTATATAAATAATAACGATATTTTCCATTTGTATTTTATTATATGTTACCTGGTAATACGACAGCATTTTGTGGCCATTGACTCTGCAAATTACTCATTTTATGTAATACAGGCCAATATAACAAAGTATCTTCGGCCACTGTGTTTCCATGCGTACTAAAAAAAATAGATAAAATAATCATTAAAATAACGATTAGATTTATATTCGAATGAAACGAATCTTTGATTTATGTTTTGTTTCTATTTACCCGGCTGAGGCATTTGTAATAACGTTTGGAATGTAAAGTTGTAAATAATCTTCTGGCTGTAACGTGCCACATTCCGAAGTAAATTCGATCGATAACCATTTTACAGATTCTGGAAAAGTAACTTTATAGTGTGACACTGCAGAAGGTTTATAAGGATGATCGCTTTCCAGCCATGTGTAATGGTGACTAGTAGTGACAGAGGGAGTTGAATGAGATTGTGTTTCACTATCTTGCGATAACTGGGATGTTCCCATATTAGATAATAAATTTAGAGCTGCAACGTGTGGAAGCATTTCTTGTATCAGGGTCAGTATTTGTACGCCACTCTGAAATGTGAATGAGTATTCAATTTAATATTATATTTTAATTTTCTGTAAAACCATAAAAAGAAAATGATAATTAAGAATATTTACCCTTGGATCTGATGTAGCTAAAGGACTAATATGAGCCATCACTAAAGGTAAAAGTGTCGTTACAAAAGTTGCGTTACCAAGTACTTCACTGGCAGTGACTTCTTCGGCTCTTTCTCTTGCTAACGCAAATATTTCGTTAGAACGTTGAATAATCGTAGCTGTCATGGCAAGAGTGCACTTTCTTGCCTGTACTTCAGCTATTGCTTGACTAGTATGTTGACCATCAGAATCTTGAGGATTGGAAAAGTAATAAATGTGTGGGATTTGACCCCTTGTTTGTGTTGTTCCTATAGAAACATGACAAGATTAGTATTACACGAGGAAAGACAATTTATTTCTATACGTTAAGTCGTACCGTTAAAACTGAATGAACAGGCAGTAAAAGTAAACGTTGTGCCATCTGGTCCTTTGACTGCGCTCAAACCACCATCGCCGTTGCTAGTACGACCACCACGATTTCTCAATTTAATAGCATACTTAACGTTTTCCTTTACTGCTACTGGTTTATTAAACTTTATTTCTATAATATCATTGACGCAACCTTCCGGCCCAAAGGATCCTCTTGTAAATTCTAAGCTAGTCCAACGTTGAGTGTGAGATGGATCGTTTCCAGTATTACTTTGCTGCTAGAAAAAGCAATTATTATTAAAAATATTATGAAAAAATATATAATAAATATAAAGAATAGTTTATATAAATTATGCATACATACATCTTCCAATAATTCCAATTCGTATTCGTATACTCCAACACCTCCAAAAATACCAATGCCTGCGATAAAAATGCCTGGTCTATCAACGGAGAAACAAATGGCGTCGGGAGAACCATTTCCCGTATTCCAAGATCTCGTTTGACTCGTTCTCGTAAATCTTGAAGGTGTAGTATACATAAGTTTACCATAAACCCCTTGCAAATCGTCTTCGTTTCCGCTGGACTGTGCCGCTAATTCAGCGATAACACGCGCGAGTAAATAACAACAGTGCAAAATTAATTCCGGTAATGAATAACTTTTTTCTCTACAAAGGCTTTTTTTCACTGGCACCAATACCAAATCTAATAATCTTTCGAGAACTTCGCGGAACGACCAATTCAATATTTCTTTTCCAGAACTTTCAACTTGCGATTTATAACTAATCTGTTCGACGAGAATAGGATATTGATGCGTGTCTGTAGAATTCATCATAAGTAAGCCAGCGTTATCCGATGGGCTTAGTTGTCTTTTTATACCATCACTATTATCCATCGTATTATTTAAAATTGGAAAGGTGCATCTAAGACGAATCGTAGGACTGCAAAGAGAAGCTACAACTGCGGAGAGGAGACGATCTTTCGTAGTAACACCGTGTTCCTGTAAATAATTAATCATTTTAATAATTAACACAATTTCTAACATTTGTATATACATGTAAATAAAACAGGTTTCTATTTAAAAACTTACTTTATCTATTTCTGACAATAATTCGCATAAAACAGTCCATTTTAAATATGCCGTTGGATAAAATGCATGATAGCACGATACAAATGTTTTATGACACTCTTCGAGTATACTATTGCTCATTTTATTATTCAAACTTTCTGAATCTAAAGTAAACAAAAAAGAAATCATTTAAAATATATAGATGAAAAATTTACAATAACAAAATATTACTATTCATATTTATATGTGTTATAAATGTAAGCTTACTTTTGTTAGAACGTGTTTTGCCTTTACACTTGGTGCTTAAAGGTACCGAATCGGATAAAATTTGACGTAACAACGCTCGTACTTCACCTATACATTCAGCAAGACGTACAGACTCTGGTGGAGTTCTCCTTCCAGCTATAAATTGCACGGATGTTTGATATTACTCATTTTCTTCGCTTTATTTTATCTTTTTACTCGCTCATTTATATACGTACCTTGATTTGGATAAATTTCATTGGTATATATTCTAAGTAATCGTAGACTAGCTTTACTAATATAAACTAAACGTTCCATTTCAAGAAATGTGTGAGACGATGAAGCAATATGGACTGCTGAATCTGATAATCCCGCTTTTAATGTATTCCAACTCCATTGTAGGAGAGATATTAAAGATTGAAAACAATCCTGCAATCAATACAGTTTTTACGTTAAAAACTTACATAATTGCATATAATGTGCATTATCTTTTATTCAAAAATAAATACATACTTTCGTAACTGTTCTACTAAATTCTCTTTTAAGTATATAAACTGGTCCGATTTGATCTCTTTGTCTATTGGACGTTTGATTTTCTGGTGTGATAACACGATATAATAATTGTGGAATTTGTCCGGCATTAACATCAGTACCATTATTAGATCTCTTAGATGATTTAAAATAGAATCTAACCCTGCATTTATTTAACACAAAAATTCAATCGATTGTTTCCTAATAACACATAGCCATTTATTTAACGAAATAATAACTTACTGATCCTCTGCTATAACTATTCCTTGCCCACTAGATCCACAATCGCTAGATGAACCATCAATTTTTGCCCATGCCACGTACCATCTGTTTGCTTGTAATGCAATAGGTTCATCAAATAAAATTGCATACTTTTGTCTAGGACCACATTCGTATGGTATCTCTTCTGTTTCTGCTAAAAGTTCTCCGTCATTTTCTTGATCGCCACCATCGACTCCAATATCAAATAGCTGTATGCATGAAAAAATATCTGTGTAGTAGTATTATTCTGCATAATGTATATGTTCTGTGCATATTTATCATGCAAAAACATACCTTTATCTTTGCAGTGTATTTATCGCGACCCCCAAACAAGCCATATCCACCTAATAGAACATCTGTGTTAGGCATAAATCTAATTGCTTCAATGGAACGACCAGAATATCCCCAGCCACCACCATGATCTAAATAATTATAATCAATTATTTATAACCATAGTAATATATAGTAATTTGTTTGTTTTTAGTGATAATACAACTAAAGAGTACTTACTTTCGAATCTGCTAACCGTTGAAAAATCTTCTCTACTATAGACTTTACCATGATTCGTTTGGTCACATTCATTCTCCTCGACTACAGTTAAATTTTCATCTTGTGCTTGTGTAAGTGTATCCAAGCATGCTAATAAATGCATTGCAGCTTGCGAACGTGTTACAAAACAAGTAGGTACTACAGGTAATGCT